TTTAATTATTAAATATTTAAAATCAAATTAATCAAACTAACTATTTACACGCACATAACCCCAGCTCTTGCGTATCCTTATAACAAAAAGATAGCACTTGATTAAAATTAGGATAACTTCAAAAGAAAAACTTTGGGCTTCAAAAGGTTCTTTGGGCATGAATTGCGGACTGAAAAGTTTATCGACAATGAACCAAGCCCGAGCCTGATAGATAGTTTTTCTCCTTGATTTAGGCCGAGAGCAGTTGGGTTATGAAAAAGGCATCGAGCGTCCCTACAGGCTACAGGAACAAAGCTTAGTACCAACAGTTTCCACATTTTGAGCTGCCTTTATAATCTTCGCATTTCACAGCAACAGCACGCCGCTGCCATCTGCATTGCTTCCCACAAAGCATGTGCGTCTGCACTGCCAGTTTGCGAAATTTGCAAACCATGTTTCATAGATGCAATGATGTTTGGGACAAAGGACCACCATGCCAAAAAGTTGTAACACCAGCATTTATTCATATTCTTCTTTTGAGTACTTTTGGGATGGATATAGGACGACAGCCAAGAGTCCTGCGACTCAGCTACTTCCCAAGAGGTCGAGTGAATCATTAAGGGCCAAATCCTAGTTGCATAATGTAATAAATTGGTTAATCTACCTTTAGATATATGTAATTTTTTTCTTTTTCTTGGTGGGGTTATTACATGATTTAAATCGCAATTAAGGATCAACAAATTCATGTACAAAGATTGAGTTCGGATATTTGAACACAAAGACAAATTACACATGCGCTTACCATTGAGCTCAATAATAATTAGCTTAGTAGGTGCAAAATGGGCGATGGGGCCTCACTGAGCGACCAACATGCCCGGCACGTAATTTTAGACACAAAAACTAAAAAATAAAAAGAAAGTCGGCTCGGCATTGGGGAAATCAAGACCGTTGAACCTATCTGATTATCAGATTACATGTGAACCACTTTGTACCATCTGATTCTCATACGTAACCTCTGTATGACAAGTCCTCTGCAGCAGCAGCTAGTAGCAACCAGCAGTTTCCCATTAATCATTAGCCTTTCCTTTTCATCCTTAAAATATAATTACTCTATAAACTGGTTAAAATAGAGTAGTCTTAGTAGGACTTTAAATACACTAAAAACAAATACTTGATTAAGAAATTTTAAGTTACAATCTCGTGAAACCTAAAGTTATGTTCATCATATGGCGTAACAACATATCATTTTCGTCCATCTCAAACTAATTATTCACGTTGGACTTGATACGAAAATTATAAAAGAAGAAATTCATTTTAGTGCATCTAATGGGAGTTGGGGAGTGGTGTATACTTATAGTCTAATACCCATTTCTCACTGCACTGTGCATGGGAAGTTTGTTGTGATAATGGCAGACGGTAGTAACGTAAATAGCTTAGTGATTAGAAAACTCAAACAAGTTCTTAAAAGGTTTACAATTATTTTTTACAGGTTTTCTGATGATAAACTGGAAAAAGCTGTAACCTCAAAAGCGAAAGAATACTTCTCTGGTAGCCAAGATCTTTCTTTTCTCCTCTTTAGTCTTTTAAGTTTTAACTCTACATAAGAACAAATGAGAGAGAGAGAGAGAGAGAGAGTTGTGTGGATATGTTATGTTAGTGTTTGCTGCAGATTGACTAATGGGCTCATATGATTAAAAAAAAAAAAGAGGTAAAAATCACAGCGATAAATCAGGAAACGTAGAGATGGAAAGTGCTGAAAAAGCATAGCAGGAGCCAGGCCCTCTGTAAGAGTACTGGGAAACTCAGCCAGGCAGGCAGGCGCCCTTTATGAGTTTCATTCACGCGTTGCTGTGGGCACGTATCTAGTCACGAAACTAGCTGATTTGTTGTGTGTAATCCGAATCCTGAATATCTGTTCTTTTTGTTTTTTTAAAACAACATTTTCTTGGTTTACTTGGTTAACAAGATTATCATTCTCAGTTTATGGGAATTTGTCTAGCTGCATTGAAAGGTCATCTTGAAAATTGATTGCAGTTCCAGGTTAAGCTAACAAAGAGGAAATGGCCAGGTTGTATATGGTGCTCAGCAGCTCAGGTACTGGCCTGTACCTGCCAAGTGAGTCAAGGATGTAGAGGAATAGATTGAGGTGTATTTGAGTCAAGTAGTTATATAAGAAACAAAATTACTATGAACAGCCCCTGAAAGTTTGACATAATGTTATCCTTTTTTCTTCCTTTTCTGTATTTGTGGCTTTTCCTACTTTCCTTTCCTTACCGGTTCATGAGCACTGCTGCCATACTCAAGGCAAATGTCAAGCACCTAACCTTCAAGGACAAGAGAAAAGAGCCAGTTTCTTCTCTGATATTTACCAAAAATAAAGCCTGGCACTATATTTTTCTTAATTTCTTTGTCTTAAGTGACTTAGAGCTTTTATTCATCTAAGACAAGGAACACTGAAATTAGGAAAAGCCATGAGCATCTTATGTTCAAATGACAAGCCATCCTAGGCTTCTATTGAGGTGACAGTAGAGTATAAACCTGTTTCGAAGTAGTAAATTGTCCGAATTCAAAAACAAAGATCAACTCGACTTGAAAAGTAGCCTCAATTTTATATTGTAAAATTTCAAGTGAATCCATTTATAACATGGGATTAAATTCTGCACTGATTATCAAATTCAGAGAACTGCTTGGATTGTCTTGTACTCTTGTTTGATTATTGGATTTGCACTTTTGTCCTTCTTAATTTAATTTAATTCAGTTTCATTAACATTCCACATTGTGAAAATGACAGATTCAACAAGTCGCAGTCAAACCCTATAATCTAAAAACTTTGAAGCAACACTTGGGAATCAAAGAGTGAGTCTGAAGTTATTAAATGCTGAAAATTAACCACTGCCTCCCACTCTGTTTATCACCCAAACTCAGACACACGATCCTTTCGCTTTCTTAACAGCTGCAATTAGCCAGTCCATTCCTCAAGACCCTAATCAAGTAAGAGATAAAATAAAAAAAGAAATAGGTCTATTGGGTTCCCTTCCTTTCTGATGTGGATTCTCCCAATTTGTTTGCCTCTTTGAGTTGTTCCTTTCACTCTTCTGCCACCCTTCCCTATCTCTCTCTCTTTTCACACAAAGAGGTCAGACCACCACCCACCACCACATCCCCCAATTTATTACCCTTCTCTCCCTTCCTACTCACTCTTCTCTCATAACTAAGCTGCCAATATTTTTATTAGTATTTGTAACTTAACCAGTTCAGTTCCTTTTCTTTCTGGCTCTGGTTTTTGGCTTTTTGCCTTCCCATTGCAGCAGGGGGGTAAGTTAGTTTCCTATGCACTTGCAGTTAGAGTTCAATTGATTTTTCCATCTTTTTAGTTTCTTTCTTGGTTTTTGGTCAAGCTGGTTTTGGGAGCAATTCTATTATTACTGACTTCATGGTTACATGAAATCCTTTCAAGATCATTATGAGTTCAATTATTTCTCTCCTCCTTCACACCTCTACCTTAGTTATTTCCCTTTGCTTTCTTCTTCTTCTTCTTTCTTCAGCCGCTTCCCTTGGCCAGCTGCAGCCTCCAAACTCCCCTCGGGTCAGCATTCGAAGCCCCAGCTCTCTCTTCTTTCCTAAGGTTATGCTCTTTGATGAATTTAATAATGGTGCCATTGGGTTTTCAACAGGGTTTATCCTTCGAGGAGAAAACAAGGCTGGGATCAACTCCTCCAAGTTGCCACAACAAATGCAACGGATGCCACCCTTGCATGGCGGTCCAAGTACCTACATTACCGAGCCACGAACGATTTCAACCAGGTTTGAGCAAAGGAATCACTAATTCCTTGCAGTTTCTTGACCCATCAGGTAACCAATACTCCAATTACAAGCCTCTTGGTTGGAAATGCCGCTGCGGTAATAACTTTTACAACCCTTAAACGATCAAATCTTCAATAGGTTTGAAACTGCCGTTCATTGGTTTAATCTTTTGAATTATTGCAAACTTTTTCTTCTTGTTGTCCCCGTTTGCACCAAAAAAGAAATTGTTTGATAGGGGGGTTAGTGGGGTTCCTAGGATTCTTTGCAGATTTTGGAGCATTAAATGTATACCTTAAAATCTTATAGTCATGTACAGAAGTTGCAACTTGCAACAATGCCTGCGAGTTTTTTTGTCCACTCTTTTGCTGCCTTCTGAATGGATTATTTCTATTTATTTTGCTATACAATACTTGCTTTGTCAATGTGTCTCCTCAACTTTGAAGCTTTCGATTTTCTTGGCCTTTTCTCCTTTATCTTCTCGGGGTTTTCATGGAGGCCATCAGCCCATCATCATGTATCCATATCTTTCTAATGTCTTCTCCCCCAATCCCCATCAATTTACCAAACTGCAGCAAACATGTTAATTCTTTATTAATAAATGCTAGGTTATGTTTGTCATGCCAAAGAAACTGTTTGTTAAATTTGTGAAAGAAAACGTACATACATTTGAGAATGGTCCCCCAGATGTACTGAAATCATTAATGTGTTGAAAGAAAAGGAAAAATAACAATGAATGGAGTAATCAAATAAAAGCAGTACCACCGAAACATTTGTAACAGCATGGCAGTTCCATGTAAAAGTCCACAAGTCCGAATGGAGAGCATCCGTACAGATACGCACTAAAGCAAAGATCTTAGTGCCAACAACTTCGCTCAGCTCAGTTTTGTTCTTCCTTTGGGTTGGCCCATTAATCTAATTTCTTCCATCGCGTGGTCATATCTCTGTGCTTATGACTCTGGTCTTCTGGTCTCCTATTAAATCACACCTTAATGACAGCGGTCCCTACAACTTATAATGTGAATTTTTTTTATTGAAATTAAAAGAATTACAATCAAATATTTTAAAACCATAATACATACATTTATCATTAAATCAAATTATATATTTTGATCATATTTATATGTATATGATGCAATAGATTACCTAATGTATAAGTATCATTCAGTGTCGTCATTAAAATTATCAAAAAAATATAAAAGTTAAAAAGTCTTCAAAGTTAAGATAATCGTAAGTTGGATTAGACAAACATACAGTTATCTTTAAAGATTCCCTAACCATTGATGTTTAGTCAATAATGGAATGAAACACGTATGATAGTGACTGTAAAATAACACCATACAGTTAGGTTGCTGAAGACTTTAAGATAAAGTTAAGATATATATATATATATATATATATATTACAAATTTGTAAAACCTTTGTTCAACCGATTTGGTCAAATTGAGTTGAAATTTTGATTCAAAGGTTTAGTAAAAAAGAGGGTGCAATCATAGAGGCTCAGGTTATGTAGAATTTATGCAACTGCTCCTACTTTTTACCAACCTTTTGAACTGGGGGCCTTTTCGTTGACCATTTCCTCTTAATGAGTGCAGCCCTATCTTCACGTGATGAAACATGAATTTTCCAAATCACGAGGACATTGTTTTGGAATTATATTTTTGTTCAATGCCTGTCTGAGTTTCTATTTCAAACAGTTATTTTATTAGCAAACAAAGTTTTTTACAACATCTAAAAAGTTGAAATATGGTACTTATTTTTTCTTTTGTATAATTTTAAAAAATATTTTTAAATTATTTTAAAATTTTAAATAAATTTTAATTTTTTATTTTATATTCAATTAATTTTTACCTTTAATTAATATGATATTTATCATTTTAAATTACATATTACTTACTTGTCATTATAGCATATTATAGTAAATGATAATGTAATATAATAACATTGTCATATAATATTTTTTACTCTTCATGTTATTATTATGTCAATGTTATTATTATGTCAATGTGATATAAACATAAAATTATAAATGATATTTTAATTAATAATAATTAATCAAAAATTAGTGATAAAAATTTATTTGATTAAAAATAAAATATAAAAACTTAATTAAATATAATAAAAATAAAAAATTATTTAAAATTTTTTAAATAATTCAAGACTTTTTTTAAATATTATTTTTTTTGAATCCATTTGAATAGGAAAATTCGAATCACTATACAATATACAGGGATCCATACTTCATTTCATAAAAAAGTTCAATTATTTTTTATATTGAAGTTAAACGAGTAAAATGATAAATAAGACCATTGTCATTACACGACCCAATTACAAATAATTGAAAATAAAGTTGCTTTAGATATATAAACAATTGCGATAATTGTAATTCTTTTAAATGATAAGGGCACATGTTATAAAAAACCATTCAACAAATTCATGAGCCACAAGAGAAATTAATGTAAAGTTTGATCGGATGTTTGACATAACTTATGGAAGAGCTTTTCAATTGCAAAAATAGAAACAACGTATTTTGGGTTTCAAAATTTTAAATTTTTTAACTTAAGCAAGAAGTCCATTTTAACTTTTAGATGTAATTATAATTCAAAATTTTTTCTCAGTACTACAATTTAATAACAAATTTTAATAAGATTTTTTTATATCCTCATTTGAGTTTTAAATAATTTATAAACTGGTAAAAAGGTAAAAATCATGTTTGATTCAAAAATAAAAATTAAATTAATTTCTTTTTTTTCCTTTATAGGTTTGTTAAGATCTCAACTTTGGAATTAAATTTGGCCTAGTGAAATTATGGGCTTCGATTGGGTCAGAACCCTAAAACTATAATTTGACATACTTTTCAAGTTTCAGGCCCTCTTTCTCTTCGGGTCGGGTGACGGCACAATCCAGCCCATGCCCAGCTCATATTAGTACAACGAACTCAGACCCGAAAGGACAGTAAGGGTTTCGCAGCGAAGCTTTAAGCGTTTTGAAATCCATAAAATTGTAAAAATGGAGTGTGTTGTTCAAGGAATTATAGAGACACAGGTAAAAGTTTCATACCCGAAATCGTTCTTTTCTTTTCTAGAAATGTTAACCGAAGTAAATTTGCTATGGTGATCGTGTTAAAAAGACTTGTTTTTTTTTTTTGTTTATTATTTTGAGATTTGCAGTATGTTGAGGCACTTGAAATTCTACTTCAAGGTCTTTGTGGTGTTCATAGACAACGCTTAGGGGTCCATGAAATTTGCCTTAAAAGTGGTCCAAATCTTGGTAAGTCGTAAAATTTTTTTCACTCTGCAAAAGCTTTGGTTATGTTTACAAGTATGTAAATTATACTGTTGCTTGTTGGGTGATATGAGCGTTTTGACCCGTTGGGTTGATGTTGTAAGTGAGTTTCCTGCTGAATCATGTATCAATTGATGATTTCTCGTGTCTTTTCCAATTTCTAACATGGGTGTATTTGTAAGAATAGTATAATGAATTTGTTCATAAGTGTTAGGTTCTGTCTTTCTAATGCTAAGACTTTTACAGGATTTGTTGCTTCCGAGGTCAGATTATTGTGTGATATTGAGCAGGCTGAACCTACATGGTAAACTGGAGTTTCTAACTTTTTTCATTTCTGGGTAATTTATTGTTATTTTGGATGTTTATTAAAACCTTTTATATTGTTTGTAGGACTGTTAAACATGTTGGGGGTGCAATGAGGGGTGCTGGTGCAGAGCAAATTTCGGTTCTGGTTAGGAGTATGGTAGAAAGCAAAGCAAGCAAGAATGTGCTTCGATTATTTTATGCACTGGGATACAAGGTGGATCATGAGCTGCTGAGAGTGGGATTCACCTTTCATTTCCAAAGGGGTGCTCCAATAACTGTAACCGTTTCATCTGTTAATAAGATGCTTAAATTGCATGCAACAGATGAGGCTGTGCCGGTAACACCCGGTATACAGCTTGTTGAAGTGACTGCCCCGGCGACCTCAGAAAATTATAATGAAGTTGTTGCTGCTGTTTCATCCTTCTGTGAATATCTTGCTCCGTAAGAGTTCCATCTACGTTCTTAAGATGCATGGTTAAAGACCTTGTCTATCTGATCAAATTCTAGTCTGTACTTAGAAGCTTGCCATGCTTTCTTCAGTTCCTGATGATTGGACAATCCTGACTATAAAGTATCATTTGCATTAAGGCATATAGGATAATCTGTTTTTAGTGTTTATAATTGAAAAATCTTTTTTCTTAGGATATGGTTATAATTACACCCTTCCTTCTAGTCCATGGTGTCAAGTCTTTGGTGGATCCTGATTTAAGGAAGTGACTTAACAGAATAAATTGGAGATCAAGCGGACAGATTCTAGTCTCTGTAACTTCTTTGATTGTATTATATGTAACTCATTCAAGCTTTGGCTGTTTTATTTTACAGGCTGCTGCATTTGTCAAAGCCTGGTGCTTCGACTGGAGTTGTCCCTACAGCTGCTGCAGCTGCTGCGTCTCTCATGTCTGATGGTGGGGGCACAACCTTGTAATAGAATTTGTAAAATTGCAGAATGTTAAAACTTAAAAACAGTACTCTGCATGAATGATGAAGGAGATGATTCATTGCAAAATTTCATTTCCCCTCTTATATATGGCCGTTAGAAATACCTTGTGAATGCTATATTTTCAATCCCCATTTTTAACTTAAAAATTTTATAGATAAAAAAGGAGGGTGTACTTGTGGAGTTTCTACAATATGTGGGTGGAACAAGGAATCTGTATCAGTCAACTAAGCCTTAGACCTGGAATTCCTAGCTGGGAACTTCTCTTCCTTGGAATATTTGATCGCAAGATATATTGGCATGATAAGCCATCATCAGGTTTAGAATAATACGTGAACAATCTTAATAGTTGATGTAGTTTTCCTTCTTGTCACTCAATCTTCAATCTAATGAGACAATGAAGAAATTTAACACACGTTTCGAAAGGCAAAGATAACCAAGGGGTGCCCCAGATTTGTGTCAATTTTACTGCGAGTGTCAAAATAGCATCGTTTTCTTTCATTGAAACCAATCGGTTAAATCCGTTAGAAAGTAGCCTGGAGATATCCACAGCCACACGAACCAAACCCGCCAAATTTAGACCTCCTCAACTCAAAAACCAAAACTCTCCACTTTACACCAATCACTCCAGCCAAGCCATGGCCTCTCACTCCACACTCGTTTTCTCTCCTCCAAATCTCTCTCCCAAATTCTCTTCGCTCTTTCATTACTCCCCACAATCCCTCACTTTCCAAACCAAAAAACCATCATCACTTTCCTTAACAAACACGACAAAACCAAGACAACTCTCAGTTTCGGTCGTCTCAACTTCTCATTCTCTTCAAGCTCTCATTTTCGACTGCGATGGAGTCATTCTAGAATCCGAACACTTGCACCGCCAAGCTTACAACGATGCTTTCTATCACTTCAATGTTCGTTGCCCTCCTTCTTCACAGCCTCTTAACTGGGACCCTGAATTTTATGATGTGCTCCAGAACCGGGTTGGCGGTGGCAAACCCAAGATGAGATGGTTTTTGTTTTTAATATTTCTGGGTTTCTTTTTTTATTTTTTTATTTTTCTTATTCTTGGTTGTTGTTGAGAATTTCTTTTTTTGGTGTTTTTGAAGGTACTTCAAGGAACATGGATGGCCATCTTCTACCATATTTGAAACACCGCCTGAGGGTGATGAGGAGCGATCCAAGTTAATTGACACTCTTCAGGTATTATTCTTACTATTAAAGGTTATGTCTTTGTGGTGACTATCAATGAATCACTGCTAGTCATCTGATTATTCTTTTTTTTTTAATTTTTAATAATCAGCATTGATTTTGATGAAATAATAGTTGTAGTTCATTGATAAATAGAAAAACTATACATTAATAGTGCATCAAATATAAAGTCTTATTATTATTATTATTATTATTTCAGTGTAATGTAATGGAAATTAAGTTTTCTTTTGATTAAGTGAATGTATAAAGAGGGAGGAAACAAGGAATAAAAACCCTATCAGGATTTAATGTGGCTTTTATGGAGAAATTTTTTTTTTCCTTTTGAATTAAGTGAAAGAAATTATGTTAGCTTATATGGAATTCTATCTACTGATGGATGTGATCCTGTTACGTGTTTGCAGGATTGGAAGACTGAAAGGTACAAAGAAATAATCAAATCTGGAACTGTAAGGAAACTTATTGCTCATTGCATTACAATTTTCATTGAATCTGAATTGGTTATCCATTATTATTCAATGAGAAGCTGTTTAGAGCATTATAGAGTGGTATTGTTTTTATTAGGTGGAACCTAGAACCGGCGTTTTAAGATTGATGGATGAGGCCAAGGCTGCTGTAAGATACTACTTATTATCATTTAAGATTGAGAATCCAATTCATGTTCTTTTCCCTTTCCAATCCAATCACTGTAGTTGCAGTCTTTTGCTTTTGTTTTCCCTTTTTTTGTCACCTTGCCAAATCTGTTTCTTCATCTTTGGTTGCATTGCGTTGTGCAGAAATCTCTCTTTTCTTTTATTGGCCAGAGTGCAGAAATCTATTTCCACTTCTGGATGAATGTTATTTTTTTCCCTTCCTTTCCTTTCTTTTTTCCAATTTATTTTATAGTATTTGAATTGTTTCTTTTATCCGTTATTTTCCTGTTCCATTCCATTCTACAGGGAAGAAAGCTAGCTGTTTGCTCTGCAGCAACTAAAAGTTCGGTTATACTCTGTCTTGAGAACCTTATTGGAATGGTATGTTCTGGTTACAGCATCATGATCAACAAGTATCCTTTGTTTCTGTTTCCTTATTCTTTAATTGTTTTGTATCTTGTTATAGGAGCGTTTTCAGGGTCTTGATTGCTTTCTTGCAGGTATGTTCGGTACTTTTAACACATGTTTTGGTTGTTAGATGTATTGTACACCTATGTGAATCAAAACATGTACTCAATGTAGGCTTCTCAGTATGATATAAGAGGTGCATTCTTTCTATGTGGAATTTTCAGTATTCTTTTAAATAGTCAATAGAAATTCAGATGTAACTCTGTTTGGAACAACATTCATCTGATGATTCACTAGCTTTGAATAAATTGAAACTAACAGAATTGAATTGAAGTTCTGTTTGGGTTTTGAAAGAATGACATACCATTCCTCACCCTATATAAAATGCATGAGAAAAGGAAAATTAGCACAATGCAGCTACGAATGCAACCTCTTTTGTTTGCAATTGGAATTGTCATAAAATTTCGGAATAAATTAGTTCCCCCTTATGAAATGCTTCTAGACAAGCTATTTTGTAAACTTGATTCAATATGAATTAAACTCTGAAGTTTTATATGTTCCTAAAGCAATACTCTCATTGGTTGTCTTTTGTACTTTTTCCTTTTAGTGAGGTCAACTTAAGTTTGTGGCTGTGCATTTGACCCATTTTAATTTGTCATTTCTTTCTTTGCTTTCCTAATTGCTGATTTTGACTCTTCAACTCTTATTCTCTTTTCTTCTATGCTTGTAGGTGATGATGTGAAGGAAAAGAAGCCTGATCCATCAATATATCTGACAGCTGCCAAGGTAGTTATCAGTGAACTCTATCATGTGCATTTAACCAAAGGGTTTCCTGTTCTTATATTTCTTGTGTTTCAATCTTTGCTTTCTGTATGCGGATCTGATTCAAAGATCTTATATATGGCAGAGACTGGGCGTGTCCGAGAAAGATTGCTTGGTGGTAGAGGATAGTGTGATTGGACTACAGGTGGATCTTCTATACTCTATCAAACAGATAGACATGTTAGTTTTAGACCAATGACTTCTAAATTTGGTCCAACAGTCGGAGAAAACAGCAATTTATCTTTGAATTTTGGCTCTTATCTTCAATTGATTAGATAATGATGAGAGTTGACTCCCAATATGGGTTTCAAATTATTCGATTTGAGTTCCTTTCTACATATTTCTTGGCCATTACGCAATGAATCCAATGCATTTACCTTAGCCAAAATCCAAGTCAAACCAAGTTTACTTTTGTACCTTTCTGCAAAGAAACTGTCTCCAATCATGTAACTCTAGTAACACTGTAAGAGTTACTAAAGCAGTGAATCTGTGCTAGTTGACAATGTCAATCTTTCTAGCCGTAGACTCTAACAAGTTTATTAACCATGACTAAAGTTTAGGCAAACTTAATTCACCTGTGCAGGCAGCAACAAAAGCTGGGATGTCATGTGTGATTACCTATACTTCTTCAACTGCTGACCAGGTGAGGTCTATAAGTGATACGTGCTGACAACAGGTAGTTCTACCAGTTGCTCGTTGAGACAACTGAGTTGTTGTTTTCTAACTTTGTTCAGGATTTCAAAGATTCTATAGCAATTTACCCTGATTTAAGTAATGTGAGGTATGCCACCACTTCATTTCAGGTAGTTTATTTTTCATTTCCCTCCCATTATGTTTTTCACTCGAATCATTCTGATTGTCCATCCAGATTGAGTGACTTAGAGTTATTGCTCCAAAACGTCGTTGCTGCAAATTAGGAGATTCAGCACAAATTCTTGGAATTCAAAGCAAGATCGCTCATTGATCTTATAGATTGTTTGCTGCTTGCCTTTAAACATTTATTAAGTGCATCTAATCATAACTCAGGCATTTATATTATCTACTGGCCTCCTCCCAGGAAATAAATAAATAAACAAAAAGAACTAGATGATATGTCTATGACTGTGATTTGCCCTGTACTTTTATATTCATACACGGCAATTGTAAATGCCAAAGAATAATAACATTGAGGCAGCAAAATAATTACAAATAATTTAATTTTAAGATTTCTCTTTCCTACTGCAGACGGGCATCTCTGCCTCCCTCAGCTCTACGAGTTTGCTCTATTACCAAAATCTAATTATTTTAACTTTGCAATTGATCTTTACCCAATCGGGCATTCAAACCATCCAACCTGTACTTGTTCAATCAACTCATAAAAGGCATCTATCTCCCTCCTTCTAAAAGTTGATTTTATTCATGTGCCCTTTAATCTTTTTTCTTTTACATGAATAATGGAAAAAAATGAAACATATGGAAAATGACATTTACATTTTTATTTTTTGGTAGCTCGTGATGTATACATTCTGCGTTTCTGAATTATATTCTTTCAGAGTACATATTTTACGACTTACACCAACCCCTCTGACCCATATTCATGATTCCATTCACAATATGATCTTCTTCATTCTAAGAGGGAAGACTATAAGCCCCACTTTGATCACAACAAATAGAAATTTGATCAATTCAAGTAAGTAATGTCATAGATTCTAAATCAATAAAAAATGAAATCACTTTTGAGTTTATAAGTAAATATCTTTTTTAACTTGATATGTTTTTTTTATTAAAAATATAAATCCGTGATAAATAATATCATAATTTATTAAATTTTTTATTAATGTAAAACTTCTCATGAGAGATAGTAAAATTGAGATAAAATCAAACCAAGAGCTTTTTGGTTTAGCTTTTTTTTTTTTAACTTAAAAACTATTATGAAGCTCTGATAAAAAATAATAATTTTTAAAATTAAATTATAATTATTTAACATAATAAATTATATAAGTTCTAATTTCAATTAAAATTACCATAAAAGGTATTCATATTATCTTCAATTATTTAATAAATTATAAAGGAATGTTTCAAGTTTATATACAATTTCAGATTTTAAAATAAAAAAATTAATAAAGAAACATAGTAACTCTCAAACTTGTATAGTAGTAATAGTATTAAATTTTTGTTGATTTAACAAACAATCGGATTATAATGCTTCAATTCTCCAAATAAAAAATTAAAAGAGGAAATGGTGTATTTAACATTAAAATCATTTTTGGTGAATTTTTTTTTTTTAAATAATATTTGAATGTAATTTTAATTTTTTTTTCTTAATTTTTTGTAAAAATAAAAAAATTTAAAAATTTATTATTCTGATACTGAGTTTTTTTTTTCTTGATAATTTTTGTAGAGAGAAGCCACGGAGAGAGATTACAACTTGCGGTGGAGAATGGTCTTGCTAAGGAAATGATGGAAGAGGAAAATGGAAATCAGCCAAGGCAAAATGCCCTGGAATGGAAGAAGAAAGCTGAAGGTGCTACAAATGTCGGTGGATCTTCTCTTCGTAATTTTGATAGAGTGATTAAGGAGGCTCTCCATCTTGGTTAAGTAGGAAAACTAGCTAGTTTGGTTCGCAATAATTAAGCACCTTGTCATTCGTACTACTGGCTTTTCTTTCTGCACTTTATCCAATATTTTCTCGTCAGCCTATTACCTTGTTCCTTATCTGCTTTCAGGTCCATTTGCACCTTAAAGTTGTAACAACGTACCTCAACAGGCTTCTTCAAATAAAACATAATCTTTCTTTGATATATAATATATCTAGCATCAAGTATTAAAAATCTTTTCTATTTAACAAAGAAGAAAAAGAGAAAAATTCAGATAATTTAAAAGGGTAGCCAATAGCCCGTTGCTGCTGGTGTTTTGTGTGGGATATATTCTGTATTCCGGGCTTAAACCGCTTTTGTAAATTTGTCATAAATCAGTAGACCAACCCGGGCTCAAGCCCGAACCTAAGCTTTCAATATGCCCAACAAGCCTAAGCCCAAATCATTGAGGTCTCTAATATTAATATATACATACAACAGGCGTCAAGGGTTTGCTCTATTGTTCTTTTCAGTTTCCACACTGGGATTATATCAGACTTTACAAGTGAATTTTGTCAAATTGTGTATTTAAATTATTTCAACTCTTATCTGGCCTATAGAAGACTTATTTAAACTGTTTTTTATACATATTGTGATGCTCATATTATCATGACATTTACACACACGTATCATGTTTATTTTTCACAGTAAATTGATGGATAAATAATGAAAATAATTTAAAAAAGATTATGAATGACAAATGTAAATTTGTTAATCAAAGTCAATATTGAATTTATAAAAACTCATGAACTTTAATTGACTTTTACTGGAAAACAAGCAGAAAATGTACATAAATATTAATTTGATTCTTTCAATATAATTATTATGAGAGAAATGAAATACGTTTTGAGGTTGATTTGGTTATATTGAATAAAGTGCGACATTTATGATCTCGGATGCTTACGGACACCAACATGGGTGCAACAATACTTATGCACAAATAAAGGTTGACATAAATATTGCTTGGACAAGCATCCGACAAGTATTACGATGGTATAACAGATCGGCAGTTGGAACCATTTATAATTTAGGCCTGCCAAAAAATTGATGGAGAGAAGTAGGCTGGCAAATTTATTTGTGGCCACGAGCCTTTAGTTGCTAGCATCTTCGCATTGAACATGGCCACGATTTGGGTACAGCATTCAAATTGTACCTTTCAAACCGCAAACCGTAGTTATCAATTAAAATAGCACAATCATACAGTATGATATTAATAAATAATTATATATATTGACAACTATATTTTATTTTTTAAAAAAAAGTCTATTACATTTAATTAAATATTAAAAATATGTTACACGATATGTTTTTTACTGTAAGCAACATATCGTACTATAGTGGATTTATTTTTTCTATCTAATTATTAAGAATTGTTTGTTTATTTATTTTTTTGAGTTAAAATATGAAAACTTATTTTTTATGAGTTTTAAGGATTTAGATTTTAAATAAAAATATTAAAACTTCAAATTTCCCTTTAGATTTCAACCTAATAAATGTTTTTTAATTTTTAATTAATAAATTAATATAAGCAAATATATATATTATTCAAAAATATATACAATTAAAGAATATATTGAGAATTTCAATTAAAAATAATCATATTTTCCACTTATGTTCAATAATCTTCAATTTTATTAAAAATATAATATTTTTATTTTTTTTATTTTACACTTGTAAATGTTACTTATAATTAGTTTCAAAAGTTTTACTGTATATAGGATATGATACTCAATACCAAAAAATAAATTTTGATATACGATAAGTATCTCGATTTAATAATTATGTCACAAACAACGTCTTTGCATGTCACTTATTATAATAATAAAAAGTTTCTCTTTTTATCTTATTTTCGGTATCTTTTTATTTGGAACTTTATGTCCAATAAAATCCATTTTATTATTGCTTTTGTTGAAATTTAACTTTTTAAAATAGATATACATATACCTCAATACCATGTGGAATGAGATATAAGTTCAAATATATAAAAAATGAGAAAATTGATTAATTAAATAAGGCACACTAAACAATTATATAGCAAATAGAAAATCAATTAAATAGGATCACGTACACATAAGATGATCATAATGATATTGGTTCTTAACTTTGTGTGAATGTTAATATTTACAAACTAGAAATTCATACATTTTCCAATTTTTTAGAGTCTCTATATTAACGATGTCGTCAAGCTTAGCTTTATGTCTTGCATGAAATTAATGATTGTAATAATTCAACTTATGTTTGACTTAATGGTTGTTAATTTTATCTCAAAGAGAATTAAACATTTGATAAGGTTTAATTATAATTAAGTTGGATTGGCAACAACGAACAGTACTTCCTTATGGCCAATAATATATTAGAATGAAAGTTAAAATACAGCTTCCATATATATATATATATATATATATTATTTTCTTTTAATTTTTAGATAGCTTATGTGAATCAACGTGAAAAGTCAAGTCACGGAGGAAATTCAAGTTGATAATTTGTGATGGTTAATGGTTTTAGGTTAGATAGTTTTATTTTATTTTATAATTAGAGAAAAGGAGATTCGAACTTTACTCTTTAAGGAAAAAGATCATACACCAATTAATGAGTCCAATGTTAGGACGGTGTTAGATAGTGTTATTTTGTAGATGTTAGATTTATTATCTTTGCTAGGGTGCTGTTAGATAGTGCTATTTTGTATATGTTAGTTTTATTATTTTTAACTTTTTGTTATGTTAAATTTTAAATGTTAATTTGATGGTTTTTTTTTGTATAATTAGAAGAGAGGGGATTCGAATCTTACTCTTTAGGTAGAGTGATAATGCACCAAACAATAAGTCAAATGCTCGGGTGCAATATTAATTTGATGATTTATGTAAAAAGATATAATTATGTAAGTGAAGGAACAAATGTTATGTTTTTTTTTT